TATATATATATATATATATATAACTTGATACATACGTAAAACTTGCTATATGTATCAAATTGTCCCCCCAAAGCATAATTACATTCTTTATATAGAATATCCCATTTTAACTTTAGTTTATGTGGGTTGACTGTGGTATCAAAACATCTCGAAAAGTTTAAAAGATATAAAAAAAATATTTCGGACAAAAATTTCATGACTTTGAGAGGGACATAAGAAAGTACTATTATTGTAATTTTATTTTGAATGGCGTTATTAAGATCACTATATGTGTATGTATTTTTTAAATGAAACCCTCACTTTTCTTTACATATTCTTACTTAGTTTATTTAAAAAATTTTTCAAATTACTATAAGAAAGTACTTTTTCATCAAGTACTTTTCAAGGTATAGTGCTTGAAAATTATACAGTATTGCCAGCATTAACATCCAAAATGTCGAATTAACAGCTAAAATCTATTGAATATTGTAACGTACCCAAAAGACAAATGATATCATTTTATGTCCCCCGTAAGGTCATAAAACTTTTATTTAAAAATATTTTTCCGTATTTTTTAATATTTTTTGAAATGCGAAAGTTGAAATGTGGGAAATCTCGTATATCCAAATTTAATTTATGTCGCTTTTAAGACAAAAGAATTTTTTCCAACTCCTATATCGATATCGTAAAATATTTATAAAAATATATATTATCGTGAAATAGATGTGGCTAAGACATCAAAAATAAAAAAAATGAAATAATAAAGGGCTCCAAATAACAAATATTAAAATAAATAAAGGTGATATAGGGGATATATAAAAACCAACAGCAGAACTTGATGCGTAAATTACATTATATTTCTAATGTTGGTTATAAAAAAATTCAAGAATGATGTCCAACTTCAAGAATTACATACATTATTGCTTGACATGTTTCGGCCACAAGATTAAACTCTTCAGAATGCAACAAAAATTTTACAATAAAGCGACTACCACTTTTTTGTGTGAAAATCATTAGAAACACGCGATTGGCTCTTATGTATCCTCTAATATATATATATATATATATATACCTTTATTTATTTTAATATAAGAATATCAAATTAATAGAAATCGCTTAAAATCAGTAAGATAATTGTACACAAATATTTGCAAAATTGTACTTCTTTTTCTTATTTTTTTCGGTGTTGTAGAAATGTGTTTTTTATTCCATATACATTCCTCTGTCTTTGCATTTCATATTTTACATACTTAAACATTGTCATTATAGTCACATTTTATCTACATTAAATATTGTTAGTAATAATAAATTTCATACATATATATGGATATGACGTAAACGGCTGTAAAAATAAGATTATGTAAACTAGGGTTTAGTTTAGATTTAAGAAAACCTAGATTTAAGTAATTAATTTTTTAATTAAGAAATAATAGGGAATATTTCATAATTTTCGAAATGAATATTACTATATCAATAGTAATTATATAGTTTCAAGAACTTTTAATAAAATTTTAATAAAATGGCTAGTTCTTCAAATCTGATTTGTGACTCAAAATCTCAGATCTATTGTACATTTCTCACGAGCTCAATTTTAATTCTTAGAAAAAAATAAATTTTTCTAGATAAATTAATTTTAGATTATAAAAGACTTTACACTTGTATTATGTTACCTTATAATCTATCTGTGTGTAAAGTATGTAAATATATTTTATGTGTTGCACACACACACACGCACACACATACACAGATGGAAACTTCTACAATAAAAATACAAAAAACTTTATTATATAACAATAAAAAAATATGTTCCTTATATATTGTTCATTCTTAAGTATATTTAAATGACAACTTTTTTTCTCTACTCCAGTCCTACAATTACATAAAATATTTTTAAAAATATTGAAAAAAATGGTAATATATAATGTAGATACATAAAAAAAGTTTGTAATTTTGATAGAAACAATGTTTTCTGAAATAAATAAAATACAGATAGTTTTTTGCGTTTCTATACGAATGTTTACACAAATCAATTCTTTTAAGCATTTCGCAAATAATATTAAGGTAAAATAAAAATTATTGTACTTTATAAAATAATTTGTGTATTCAAAATACTTAATTGATATATTTTAAAATAAAATATCATACTTTTTATACATAGTTTATTTGTTGGTAATTAATTTTTTTACATGAAATGAAGATATTGATTTATATGTATATTCTACGCAAGTTTATATATTCTAAGAAAAATACAAATTTTAAACTGTATTATTAAAACAAAAATGCCATTTCTATTTCTGAGAAAGATTAATTTTTTACGTGTGTCTCACCATATGCTTCTACAAGCAATCGATGCGCCTCAGCTGCAGATTTCTTCAAATTAAAGAAGCTCCCGCAAATGACGCTTATTCGGCTCAAAACTCGACATTTTCACACGAAAAAAGATATATGATGCTGATACAAAATCGCTAATATTTCAAGGTTATGTTGTTGCCAGATGTCCAACCTTACTTCTTCTTTTTCTTAATTAATGGCTCCCGTGTCCAAATAATGAAATAGGAGGTCGATACGGCCAGATCACGTCTTTAATGTAAACCGTATAAATATGAAAACGAACGGGTGATGCAATGCCCGCGAAAATGGCATTGCTCGAATCAATCAATCTTGGTGTAGTGGCCTCGTTCCCGGATAGCAAACTGGGACGACACGGCCAGTATCGAAGACTGCCGCCATCGGCGGCGAGTGTAACGAAAGTTCAACGAGTAGATTCTATGTTCAAGTGAGTAATCTTACATGCTCTTAATCAAGCAAACGAAGTCACTCTACCAAGCAATCCTCAAGCGGACGAGTTAATTCTACCAAAATTGAGTTGAAATATATGGGGAGCAAGCGGATTCGAACCCGGATCCGCAGATCACGAGTCCGATGCCTAACGTGCGGAGCCACACGACTCCCCTGGCATTCCTCGAACAGTCTTCGGGCGCCTGCGTCTACGGCGTCGTCACATCGTAATAACGCGCGTCATAAGGAGTCCTAGCCGTCAAAACGACGAACTATCGAAGCGAGCTCATCCTCGGGCACACATCAATGTAATACAACGCACAGTCAAAGTCGGCAACACTTTTAAAAATATAAAATAGAAAGCACCCGCGTTCCAAAACGTGTTCGCCGCGGCCGAGTGGTTCTTCGGAACTGTGTCCATTTGTCCAACCCATGGTGGAAACTTCCACCATGGTCCAACCTTACGTTACGATATGACGTTTTACAGCAGCAATTTTAACCATAACATACTAGTGGCGCCATCTTTTGTCAAACGGCGGAAACTTATTTATACTCCTAACATTTCAGTATCAAATCTTTAAATCTCAAAATTTTTGGACATCTCGTACATACTTATTTTATTTTCAACCTTTTTGTCAGAATAAATCTGAATGCTTATTTTTTCGCTTTTTGTTGTAGCCATTTTAAGCATATCGCTTTAATTGCACTTTGATCAAGTCTGTCTGATTCTTTTAAGATCCTCCTTATATCTTGTGCTCTAGAATACTTCACTGCAAGTAGGTATGCAGCTTTTAATTGTTTATTTTCAATGTATGCATTTATCTGGAAAAGGATAATATTGCGAAATGTATAAATAAAGTACATTGAAAGTCTCTTTTGACATATTTAAAAAGTATGTATTTTCATAATGATATCACATATTGATATACAGAGTGATTCAACTAACAATAAGTTTTATTTTGATTCAATTATAAGGGAGAGTTACATCTGATATATGAGTTTCTGCATATCTGATAACGTTTCAAGGTTATCTAAAAATCAAATAAAAATTCATTTATTATACTAACCGGAAATTATCTTAAGGTCAAACAAAAAATCATGTCAAAAGAACAAAATTCAGAGCCAAAACAGATCGTAAAACTTAATTGAATCATCCTGTATATTGAGATATAATTAAAATGAATCTTACTTTCAATTCTGTGTCAATTATCAGTCTGATTAAAATATCTATATGATTCTTGAGTGTTGGAATCTGTTCAGTGTATGAATGAGTTAATAATAATTTCACACAGTGTGCCAAAACATGATCCGAAATGATATGGGCATTAGGTGCCCCAGAACTACGGCAACACTTGATCAATTGCTCGATTGCAGCTATATTATTTTTTAAAGCTAACACATGGCCAGCTAAAGAATACACTTTCTGTTGTGGAAGATTATAATCTGTAAAAATTGTACATTAGCTCATCTATAGCATATATTATTACGAGTTTATTGTACTTTATATATATTTCATTTAGTTCAATCGCTAACTATACTACCAACCTTGCATTATTCTAAAAGCTATGCCGAATCCTTCTCCAATATCGCGGCCGCACAATATAGCTAAAACGGCTAGGTATATCTTCTGTTGTTGGTTGTCAAATAATGTAGGTAACTGAAAATTATCGCTGTCAATATCTGGAAAGAGATTTAAAAATTCAGTTGAAGGTCTTTCCTCTTTTTCACAATTTGCTAGAAACTTCACGATTTCTGTCTGTCTGCATATAGTGTTTATATGTCTGTCTATCTCCGAGGGTTCCATCACTAAAGTATTTTGACCACTGTAATCAGAGTTAATGTTTTTTCTTTTTTTAGTCAAGCTGTCTGTCTGTAATTCCAACTCCAAGTGCTTTTGAGCCTCTTGTAATAAATGCACCCTGTTATGTAAGTCTGAATAAGTGTTCGCTTCGTTAGTATAAAAACGGATGCACGTCATCGACGCTCGTACATAGTCTCTCATAAAGAGCTGTATCTGATATAAAATATGCCAATATTGTTTTCTTTCCATGAAATGACAAACGAATATTAAGTGTTTTCGCCAAGTAACTAAAGTAGGATCTCTCGCCCTCATTGCATTGTGAAGTTTCTCGACGTAGCCGTTTTTCAAACTGTACAAGTAAACTGCGTTAAGAAATAGATCACGTTCTATGTCATTGTCTAAGATATATACTAGGCACTTATCAAACTCTTTATGTCTCAAAAAGAATTGTAAAATAGAGGTGTAACTTCCGTATGCCAACAGATAATACAAACTTTCTTGATAATAAACTGTTTGATTAGCGGATACTACATGTTTAATATTAAATTGATTTTGGTTAACAGCTTTTAGACTACTAAGTGTTTGTAGAATTTCTTGCGCCGTATCAGATTTAGGTTGCGGACTTGGATGCTGTGTTCGGGATCTATGAATGCTTAAAGTATCTAATATTTGAAGAATCTCCGTTAGCAACGGTGGATCTTTTAGTGGGCGGCATTTGAAATATTCGCTTTTTCTCAAGTGACCAACTTTGCACGCTTGTTTTTGCTCATCCGATATTTCATTCGCCTTCTGCGCGGACTGCGTCATCGTTATCGTTAACTCTTCCTTGGAACTTTCGATCGACTCTTTGGGATAAACTAGCATGACCCAATCGTCAAGATCTTCGTGTGTAATTTTATCAAGGCAATGTTGAAACTTCTCTTTCGCCTGTTCTAAATGTCCCACTTTCAAACAAGCTTTTCCCCATGCGGCCCACACACCCTGTGTGTCCAATCCTGCCTTCGTGCTCACATCCAACGCCAACGTCCAACGTTCCTTCTCGGTGAGAAGATCGCGCAATTTCCTCAGCGTATGCTCATCGAGATCATCCATTGGTATAAGAGTTACACAATCGGACTGGACTAGAGTTGCAATTAGATCCACTTGCGATAAGAATCGATCGCAATGCGCGAGGCCAGTATTAAATCCAAATTTCGCGCATTTCATTTTAGCTGCAGTTAGTAAAGAACGTATCATTTTGATAAGTACTGCATGATCGATTTCGGGATTTATCCTGTCGCCACTAACGGGTTGGAGTAATCGCTTCATTTCATCGCAACGGTCTAATAAGAAACTATGTAAAAAAAATCATTTTATTTATTCCTTATAAATTAAATGTAATTTATTTTATTATATTTCTCATTACTAATATCACTATATTAACAATAAAGAGATTGTAAAATCAAAAAGCAAAACTATACAAAGAGAAACATTGTATTAGCAGCATTAGCCAACAATAGTTTAATTGAAAATGATCTTATATTAATCACATAACGATATTAATACGTCATCTTGTCTTAATAAAATATTATTTTGTTAAAACTGCAGAATTAACAAAGTAATTTTTAATGCTGTTAGCTAATGGTTATTAATAGAACGATTATTTTTTCCATGTACTTATGTATGTACTTTTCCATGTAGTCCTTAAGAAACTTAGAAATTATTACCTGGTATACATTTTAGAATCGCAGTATAAGTTAAGAATAGCAAGACACAGCGAAATATTTGGCGCGTATTCAAATGAGAACTCTTCTCTTATGGTGCGATTGTGTTTTTCGTCTTTTGTCAATCGCCAATAATCAAACAGCTCATTACTGGATGTCGATGGAACACTTTGCGCCGCATGCAACTGTAATATTGTTTGATGTTTGCAATCGTCGCACACGCGTACCAACACGGAACTGGGATAACCAGCAACTTGCATGCGATGCTGAGAACACATAGCACAAATAATACGGCCACATCGTCGACAATGATGTCGTCTGTTAAACATTGAAAATATCACAGCCTTGCAGCAACTGCACTCTCTAGCCTGTTAAGTATTACATTTTATTATGTAAATTTGCTAAGTAGAAAACATGTATAAAATAAGAATCAAATGTATAAAATACACACACACATACGCACGCGCGCGCGCATACACACACACAATACAAAAGAATGATTAAAACATAGGTTTAAATATTTTTGAATTACCCTATCATTTGGGACCCATTCCTCCTTAGTAGGTACATTGACAGGCATAACAAATTCATTACTTTCTGCCTCAAGATTAGATTGTGATATATTTTTGGTTTTATTTTTAGTACCATCACGTCGAAACGATACACGAAAATCTAACGATTTTTTAGCGTAAAACTTTATCGTTTTATCAAAATTGCTAATGCCTATATCGGGATGCTGTAAATTATCGTGCAGCAAATTCAAAATCTTTTGAATGTTTTCAAATTTACAATTCATTAATAATTGTTCCAACATCAATAATGGCTCTTTTATTAAATGGATGTATAACGATCTGTCTTTAACTTCCAGCATCTTTAAAATTTGTAGTCCTATCAAAGTTTTCCGATACTTTGGTCGCTCTGCTATTTTACAATAGTCTAACAAATAGTCAGCGATAAATTGTAATGCGCTGGTAGATTCTAATCTTTTAAGCACCCCTTTACATATTTTCATTGTCTGACTCAATGATAACGTTTGAAGAAACTAAAATATTTATTATCAAATCAATAATAAGTATGTTCAAAGCTCGTTATATAATTATGATCTTTATAAACAAATTTTTATTTACCTTTAAAGCTTGCTTGAAACCTTGCTGTTCATTTTTTAAAAGGCCTGTTAGAAAGTCTTGGCTCACAGGGATTTGCATCTCCAAAGAAAATGCTTGGCACTCCATCCACTCCAAACATAACTCGAACTGATCTGCATCAATCAGGGATTTAATAATCTCGAATGGATCGATCTTCTCCGTACAATATACAATATCGTACCACGTACTGTTTGACCTACTCATACAGTACGGAATCATTTTATGAAAGATCGTTATTCTGCACAAGATATTATTCATCCGATGTTTACAGTGTACTGGCAACTTGTGACTGTGCTCGTGCTGCAATGCGTGACATAATGCGTGCTCACATAAAATCGTAGGCCACTTGTTAACGTTGTGCAATATCGTTTGCGTCAATATATGTATATTTTTGATTTGATACAGATACTGTAACATACTTGTGACAGACAGGACACCTAAATTGGACAGCATATGACTTAAAATCAAATCCTTGAAGTGCTGCAACTCTGTACTGTACTTTATAATGATGTCAGCTAGAGCGTTTAACATCTCCAAAGAATCTTGCCAATTATGATCTTCCGTAAGTTCAAAATAATGCCATAATTCATGTTCGGGTACATTATCATGAATAGCGGTGAGAATTTGATTATTATTAAATAAGAGTTTCAGCTTATTCACCCATGGAGAATTCACAAGATTCTCAAGACACGCTATACGGCTTATATTATCATAGTTCTCCAAAATAGTCGGATTTTCGTTATGCATTCTCTGTACAAGATAAGAGACGAGCCAACAATGTCTTTCTAGATATTGCAATAAACTAGTTCTTAGTATCCGAGTCTGCCAACATGATGTCTGTACGAGATTTGTGGTTGTAACATTTGATATATTACATTTGGAATATTTTAGTATCACCTCGTATGTATAATTAGACGTCATGTATTCTATATTTATATCTTTGTTTAATTTTTCTAAATCAGCTATTGAAGGTAAATTCCTGTTAGCGTTTGTCTCACCATCGGTATCTCGTGAAAATGTGTTTTGATATTGCCTCACAAAATTAGGTAAGCTGATTTTTTGTTTTGATCCATCTACAGACTCATTATTAGGTGATATCGATGAATAATACGCGAAATAATCGTGAGTCGCATCATTTAACGCATCGTTTAACGTCTGTGTTTCATAAACCTACAATGTTGAGCATATTGATCATATCCATCCACTTACTTATGACAAACAACACTGTTTAACAAAAAAATGAGCAGAGCTTTTTTGATGCCGAATATAGTTCCGCGCGTACATTAGAGTACTCTATTACGTCACAATTTTGAGAAAAAAAATTTGCCAATTTTTATATAGAATCTGTGTCCTTTACATATAATAACCAAATTTAGCTAAAATTTAAAATTTTAGAAGATCAAAATGTTTCACAATTGGATCTTTGTGCTGAAATACAAATTTAACTAGTTAGGGATATATTTTTTGAAACATTGGGTACTAATCTAGAGGTACTAAATATTGAATATTAATAGATGTTATAATAGTAATAAAATTTAATACGGCAGATATCAAAATTAAAAATGTTTGGATTTTTTGGAATAATTAAAAATTTTTTTATGTAATTTAAATTGAATTATCAAACTGACATCAGATTAGTATTTCAACAACTTGTGTAATTTTTAAGTTTGAATAACATAATTAAACCATACAGAGACAGATTCTTAAAAGCTTATACAAGTCGCAACTTTGCTATAATAAAGTTAAATTAAGAGTCTTGTACTTAACTATTATTATAATAAAGTTTATTGATAAATATCTTTTTAATCATAATCGATAAATTCCTTTAAAGGACTAAAAATCCTAACAACGTTAATTCTGATTATAATAAAATTGTTTTGACACGTTACACACAGTATAGATATTGTACAATATATGTTAAAATACTCTAAAATACTCTTTTTTCATAATATTAATCGTAAATTTCTCAAAATTGACGTGATAGAGAATTTGGATTAATCATATTCAAACACGATTGTATTCAATGCCTCAAAATTACGCGAATCCTCATTTTTATGTCAAAAATATAAATTTTTATTGAATAGTATAATTTATCGAGACATTAGCTTACACGAATTTCAGGCGTGCCGTAGAATTCATTAGCCATGGCGAAAATAATCCTCGGATTTTGCACAAGATCTAAATCCTGCCATGCCAATTCGTTGAGTTCTTCCACTCGCGTGAAGAATTTAATATCATTCGCGAGTTTACCCAGTAATTTCGATCGAAGAGCAGCGAGTGTCACTAAGCCCAAATCACCAATCATATAACCGATCGATCTCAATGAAATGGTATGCCTCAAACTTTCGAGAGGCGGATCTTTGGACCATACATCTAAACTCGCATGAAGGAACATAACGTTCCAAACGTTCAAAAAAAATGTTAATGTTTCATCTCCCACAGATAATTCGCAGAGATCGAGACTGGCAAGATTCGATGTTTTGTTTAGAATCATTCGTATATCTGTATGATCAGAAATACTTCTCAAGTATAAATTATCCAGATGAGATCGTTCTGAACTTATGTTACGTAAAATTTGTAGGAGCTCTGTCAATATTTTCAAAACATATTGATTTGGTTCTTTTATTATATTTTTTACACCCTATAAAGATATTCCATATTACACTATATCACATATTGTTTATTATATGTATATAGGGTGTAAAGATCGTAACAACGCTTAAGAGGAGATTTCTGACATTATATCTTGAGACGAAAACCCTAATATCCAAATGTCGAGGCTATAATAATTTTTTATAAATATCAATAATATTAGAAATATATCAATAATTTTATCTTCACATACATAATTAATTTATGTCAGTAGTAACAAAAAACGACAATTAGCTTTGTGTTGCATCACACCTAAATGCGCAAATTTTAGACGATATGATTCGCTAACTTTAAATGCTTATAACTGAAAAACTATTACAGCCTTGATATTTTGATATTAAAATTATCGTCTTACAATAATCTCAGGCATCTACTTTTAAGCGTTGTTACAGTCTTTATGAAACATTGTGTATATTATTTATTTATTAGCGATTAGTTTCATACCGATTCTTCTTGACTTTTATTCAGTATAATATATTCGGAATCTCTGATACTACTGTAGTTTTTTTTATCATAACAAGAAATATTCGGATATGCATTTACAAGGATACTATATATTAAGTTCACTTGCAAATTAGAAGCAACCTTCTCGAGCTTATCTGGCTCTGTATTCAAGTCGAATATCTGATACCCAAAATAATGATGTAATGGAGTCCTTAACAAATCAGATACTGTTTGTATATTAGTATCATCTAAAACCAAAACAATAATAATAATTAGTTAATTATTATTATTATACAGTGTCTTATATATAAAACACCTATCTTTTCACAATTTTTCTATGCTTTAACGCGATTATTACATTAATAATAAATAATATGCCAATCAAAATTAGCATTTCTTATACAAAAAAATTATCCTAGAAAGAAAAAATTCATGTAGGTAATAAATATGTCTTGTGAAAATCTTTATATTAATATTTTTAATAATTTATTATTTAAGAATAAAAATTTTTTGTCGATTTAAATCAAATATATTAAAATTTCAACTTAAATTACAATTATAATTGCAAATTTGAAATCAGAAGTCTAAAAAAACTTATGTATAAAGTTCCAATTGCATATAAGACAATTTTTTAATTTAGCCGCCATATTAATTCTGCCATTTTGTCTTTTTAAATTTTAACTTCAAATTTGCGTAATCAAAATTCAAAAACTCTCATATTCTAAACTTCAGTAAAATACAAGTATGTTCAAAAATAAACATTGTGTAAAAAAAAATGAAGATAAATAAATGCACGAGTTTACTAATACCTGGGATAATAGTAGATATAAGCTGTAGATACAAATGGACGTTGTAAAGATATTTCTTGTTATTAAAAATATCAGATATTTTTTCTATCGTTTTTAATTCTAGAATATAGTTATTGCTGCAAGATTGCGTCTCCATAATCTTTATTCTTTTGCGATCGTATAACATACGATAATTATTCTCAAACTCGCTCCAAATAGTATCGTTTTCTTTCCATTCCTTTATATATAGCGGAATTCTGGCGTCACACAGTATAACGTTCATAGATATATTATTTCTATTTTCATAAAACAATTGATAAATTTTTGAAAAGAAACTCGCATGCCCTGTGCTGTCAAACGTTTCGGAGAGTTTTAAATATTTCATCGCTACATCACATAGATTGCTCGAAAGCTGATATGTTTGGCCCATAGTCAAACTTAGATCCAGCGCACTAAGAGTTAATATCTCGTTGCTACGTAGAATATTTGTATCTAATATTAGTAAATGTACTTGTTGAGATGCTAAAAATGTTTCAAGTTGGTTGATGTACTTAGAGGATTGTACACCTTCCTGGGCAGCAAATTTTATATTCTGTAAACGTATTTTACTGTAACACATTTTACTTATTTTACAATGAAATTTATTATACAAATCATATAATATGTTTACCTCTAGTGTAGACGTTTTTGAGCTTTCTTTAGAAAAATCTATTGTATCTAATGTACGAATGTGTTTATATAGATTTTGCTTAAATGTATGAAGTGCTTCTGAAAATCGAATCTCACCATCCAATTGTGTATTTTCCATGTGGAACATCTAAGGAATAGAATTTCTAAATAAGAAATTAGAAAAAGCTTAAAATGCTAAATCGAAAAGCGGCTATGTTATTGTTAATGATTCAGATTCGTATCTTGCAAATAATTTCACACGCAGTTAAATACTCAAAACAAACTTTATTTATAATCTCTTTAAATTATAATATCTCGATTAAAGTTGTAATAGTTATCTAGTATAGATTGATGTAAGGGATACCAAAGTCTTTGAAATTGCGTTGGATGATGCAAATTACAATGAAGAAAACGAAAACGAGATGATTCAACCAATGGATCTTGCGGATTTCAAATCTCTTGCAAAAGACAAAAACAGATACGGACCATTACATTCTCATGTAAAATATTATAATGAGCGTAACGCCGAAAGTAAAAAACAGTATTCAGATATATTTCTGCTGCAACCACGTATAAAAGAAATATTCAATTTTGAACAAGAAAATAAGCCATTTATTGCTGGTTTTAAGCATAACTTAGATAAGGTAAATTATTGAAAAACTCAAAATAAAAAAATTTTTTTTATTGAATCTATACTCACTAAAAAAAGCGGCAGAAAATAAGAAATATTTTTTTAATTTTAAATGCTTAACGCAGTAAATATAATTATTCCAAAGAGATACTTAAAAAACAAAAATTTAACTTAAAGCATTCTTCAAGCTTCACCTTTTCGTTCTCTGTATCATAATTATTAAACGGGTTATAAGCATTCAAATTTCTTAAATTTTTCTTATTTTCTACTGTATTGGTTTTTCTTTGACTGTATGTATTTCTCACGAAGCAAGCCACTGATGTATAACATCAATTAATAATTTTCATTGATTCGAAGAATATATCATGTTTATATATTAATTATATTTATTAATTCTAATAAGAACAAGAGAAATGTACGACATTTTGGGAAATTGCAGAATTATAGAAAAGACACAAACGTTACCACAGGTACTAATTAATACATATGATTAATTACATCACATATTAATAAATAATGAGAGAAGAAACAAATATTTTTCTCTATTTGTCAAATATAAATAGGCAAAAGTGTAAAAAACGTGAAACGCGAAGAAATAACGAACCATTATGGAATAACAATGGACGAAGAAATGGATTTTTTTCAAGTTATAAGAGACCGGAATGTTGCAACTAACGAGACAGAAACAACGGAATTTGTGAAAACGCAAGAAACGCATACACAATATAACTTGTACGAATATGATCAAGAAACTGCAAGTGAAGAAACCAAAATTACTCTGAATAAGTTTTTAGTCTCGGAAAAAAGATCTACAGTTGCAGATAAAGAGAATTCTTCTGAAGATTCATACGATGAGTATAACAGATTTAAAATAGAATATGAACAGCAGCTGAAATATAATATAAAGGAAGGAAAAGTACTAAATTATAGTCAGAAGGAAGAATCGAAAGATACGCCGAAAGAAGCACTAAAAAGATTAATAGATCTGAAACGATCAAAGAATTGTACAAAGGAAGAATTAAGCCAGATTGGAATCAAAGCAATAGAATGTCTTTCATACGATTTTCAGCGCACGAAAGACATAATGACTACGAAGATGATTCTTTCGAAGATATGGTTGGTTCTCCGAGTTTGGTTGTTAATTTATATTTGTTTGGCAATTCCCTGTTGGTGTCAAAGAGGTAATTTCATCAGTTATTCTTGTATCTTTTTTTGGAAAAATTATACGGAAATATTATATTTATTATCGTATATGTATGAAAATTATACTATGTTTTAGGATGGTGTTGTTGCTGTTTCCGCTGTAAATTTTGTTTTCCACGGAAAAGGATCAAATTCATCAAACGATATTACGCAATAAATCCACCTGGCATTTTCGTGAAAGATTTGAAAAAGGAGAAAGAGTCTGTTGAATATGAAGCGACTGAATATGAATACAACACATACAAAACTTTCGAAGCTGCAATAAGAAATATATGAATATTAATATATTCGCTATCTTTGTTAATCGCATATAATTTAAGACAAATTCAGATATCCGTTTATTTATATGTTTATCAGAACTTTTTAATTCAGAAATTTCAGAAAACATTTTCCTAGATGTGTGTGTGCGTGTGTGTGTGTGTGTGTGTGTGTGTGTGTGTGTGTGTGGCGTGCGTGCGTGTGTGTGTACTAGTGAGAAATATGTACTTTATATTTTTAAATGATGAATGTACTAATATTTATTAATTGTAATTATACTCAACAATAATTTGATGTGGCTTGTTCGTGTGACATAAAACTATTCAAACAGTTTAACTTAAAACTAATTTATACAGAATATAAAAAGTTAGTAAAGTAAACACAATAAAAATGCAAATATGAATAATATTAGATAGATATGTGTATACATAAAATTTGTTATTTAAAGATATAAATAAAAAAAATATAAACGACCTGACCTTCTGTTTTAAATCCTTTTCATTGCAATTTTACAAAACAATAATTAAATATGTCAAGTCAAAATTATAATATTCGATAAGATATATTATTTGTATAAAACAACATTACCTCAACCACCTCTTGAGCTTTCTGAAAATTGCCTTTCCATAAACAATGCAAAATCAAACTTTCTTTCGAGGCTAACATTAAATTTATCAAGGACAGTTTGATTGTTAAATGATCTGCCTTTTCTGCAGTAATTCGTGAACATTTTCTGCGTTTATTTCTGCTCAATACGCCAGACTCCGAACTACTGTCAGATTTAACTTTAATTTCATCAGAGGTGCTGTCTTCTTTATAAAAAGATGTATCTGTTGTGATGCGATGTGAAGAACTCGATGTTTGAGAAATTATAGATTCTAATTTATTTACACCAGAGGGATTATCAGACTCATTTTGTGGAGTACCAACATTTTCAGAAAAATTAAGTCCCATATGAAATTTCAATTTCCAACGAGTATCTATCAACGTTGATTTAAAGGTAGATACATTTTCACGAAGTTGTTGCATTTCATGATGCGACTCAAGTACTTGTAATTCATTAATTTCTTCTATTGTAATCAAAGTACTCTTCCATAAATAATATAACATGTCTCTTACAGCATATTTATTAGCTATGAAGCCTGACTTTTCGTATTCTACATATTTACGAATATTGGAATCATCTTTGGTACTAGCATTTGTAACGTTGAAATCTTCATAACGTAAAAATAATAAGGAAAATATATTCTTCATTGTCTCTATCCTTGATGATAGAGGAAATAAAGAAGATAAGTGTGATACCATGTCAGAGAAGTATTTAGTAATTTGTTTATATTCCATGTTATAAAATTCACACAAGAAAATGGCTTTTAAGGCGCTTATTATGCAACAATATGCTTGAAAACTTATGGATTCATTTAAAGACATCTCTTTCACTAAATCTTGAATGTCATTATGATCTTGATCATGTATATTTGTCATTAGTTTCAAAACGAAAAGTATGTTGTGTTTTTGCAAAAGAGACAAAATTTGTTTTACAGATACTGTCTGCTCAATCATATTAGATTGCAAATTTTTTGATTCTTTGGCATCTAATTTTATATCTACAGAATGTGTTTTTTTCCACCGTAAAATATATATCACAATTCTAACATGGTTTTTTAAAAACATATATAATTTATTTAAATAATCATCATTGTATAGATCGGGGTAACACTTCTCCAAGAAGAAGTTGATGCACTCACAGATAAAAATACCATTGTCATAGCTTTCGTAAGTATTAATTATTTCCAGTGAGCAATCATTTAATAATTTAAATAATAACACTGGATATAATCTTTTTAATAAATGACATGATAACAATAATTCGACTTCACTATATTTTCCTTTCATAGTCAAGATATAACATATATCCTGTAACATATAAAAATTTAATCTAATAGTTTCAATGAATTATGTATACATATATACACATATTATACTAATCTATACTAACACTTTATAGTATGCATATAGTAAGCATATATGTAAATATGGCTAGTAACACGTTATTTGCTATACCAGCATACATATACATATATAACTATATATATATCTGTTTATTTGCTAATTTGTTAAATTGTCTTATCAATTAAAGAAAGTTTAAAATGCAAAACTTACCAAAATATCATTCAACCAATGTAATTTTCTTGCACTTATTCTTTTAAGTAATTCCTGTTTACACAAAAAAATTTCAGAGTTCTCTGTTAATTTAAATATACTGTCACATATTTTATATGCTGTGAGTAAAGTAGCGCTTTCAAAACACGCGTGTGTTTTATTCCAAAGTAGAAGCCATTCACTTAACAATTTATCATTTTTCTTTGAATATAATGCAAGTTTAATATTTTTAAAATATGATTTTGAAAGCGTAGGACAAATCATTTTTAGAAATTCGATTTGCGAACCTGCATCTATATCTATTTTTGACAAAAAGCGTAGAATCATTTGTACAGAATTATCATGAGTAGCTAAATCAGTTTCAGAAGAATCAGCTACTATATGATTTAAATAACACCTTTTTCTGGGTGGAACAAGTTCTAAGTATGACTTCAAAGTAGAAAAATAACTATCTTGTAAATCTCTGGCAGTATCATTTGGAACAAAGACTATTAATTTGTTTATAATCCAACACACAATTTCAGTATTAATACATATGTTATCTTTTACAAATGTAAGGATTTGTTGAAATATAATACTTGAAGTATATTTTGTACTGCATAGTGCGCTTAGTTCGTGTAGAAGTATTAACAATTTCTAGAAAATAGAATTTTTGTTCTTAAAAATAAGAATATAACATGAAGGTACAAAAGACTGATTTTGTTAAGAGAAATACCTTACGTAAAGAATCTGGTACATTACTACATAGCTCTATTGCATTTTTTATTTGTATGCAATCAAATTGTCTCTGAATATTGCACTGTATATTACAATCAACATTGGATGACTTGCTATCAATAAGTTTCCATAGTAATACATAAGCAATCCATTGGTATTGCTCTTCATTTGGAGAATGTCTATAAACATAGTTTGCAAAATATAAAAACAAAAGTAATGACAATAATATATTTTATGATATAATTAATTACTCACATCAAGCTTTCAATTACAGTCTCCAATTCCGTTAAGTCAACACAGCAGTTGTGATGGAATTCATTAAAAAAATTATTATCATTGTTTGTGTAGAAAATATTTAAAGATGTGTACCATAAACGAGAGAAAATGTATTTGTTCAATTCCAGCACTTTTGTTTGTGTCGACATTGCTCCACATTGCTCTCTTTAAAATTGTTGTGATAATTATATACAAGCTATACAAGTTTTCCAACAAGAGACAAAGATGACACAGTTGGACACAGTGCAACACATGAACAGTGAATCAGTGGTAGCATTCACCAAACTCAATTGTTGTGCAAAGCGGTTGAACCGTTGAACGAGTGATTCGTGAACGTGTAGTGATCATGATCCGAGTCTGCTAAACGAACTGCTCACGGCTTTAGAATATCACATGATCATTGTTTTCCTTAATGGGCCTTTTACAATAAGCCGTAAGTCACAAATCATAAGTCATAAACTAGAAATGGACCAATCACAGTCGTCAATTTTTAGTTACTTACTTCCGATTTATGACTTATGGCTTATTGTAGAAGGCCCATTAATCTTATTTTCAGTATTCGAGATTGATTCCATCAAATTCATATTTGTCGACTTCTCCACGATAGTATCTTGATTCACATTTATGTCTAAAGCCTATTCTACAATGACCGTAAGCCGTAAAAATTGACCAATCATAATCGAATATGAGGAGAATAATCGATTACGATTGGTCAATTTTTGTAGCTTACTCATTGGTTACATGCTTTATGCGTTATGCAAAAGCTGTGTTGGGGCTCTAAACACATTTTTGCATAACGCATAAAGTACGTGCATAAGGAATTTCATTGGCCCATTTTCTTATGCATGAGTCAATGGACCAATCAAATTCTTTATGTATATGGTTTATGCGTTATGCAAAAGTCTGTGCTCCCCGCTTAAGAATGGCTGCGTTCAGCAGAGAAAGCAGCTTTGCAACTGTTGTAAAATTCTTTAATATGATTGGTCTTGCCCTTATTTCCCTATTACATCTAAATGTATAAGCCAATCATATTCAAGAATTTTACAACAGTTGCAAAGCTGCTTTTTCTGCTGAACGTAGCCAATGAGCGTCAAGCGTCAGCATGAAATTGTACCTTTAAAGTGAAAAATGTATATTTGTTTCACTTCAACTTATTGCACCGTGCGTACTAGTTCAGGCAGTGCAGGAACAAAAAACAGACCCTTTCTTTAAATTGGCAACTCTGATCGTACAATCCGTACAATTCACGATCACATTAGTTTTCATCAGCTTTGTAATTGTTTGTCTATCGAGGATTAAATAATTGATCGTTTTTTGTGCAATTTAGTAGCCGACATGACAAAAGGTATAACAGGATTGCAGCTTCTGATTTTGAAACTAATTAAATACGAGTATAATAGTAACGAGTAAAATTGATTATGTTTACATTTCTAGAAAATAATATTTTAAAAAATACAAGAAAGTAATAATTTATTAAAAGTTTATGATAAAAAATAACAGATTACAATAACTTAAGTTTCGAATGATTTGCGTTTTTCTTCAGACGAAATTTTAGAGAAGAAATCTGTGGAAGGTAATGACAGTGATAAAAAAGCAGTATCTGACGCAGGGCCTGATCCTTCTGCCCCAATCACAAGAAAAGGAGTATTAACATCTTTTTTAACTGGCAAAGCTATGGAAATACCAGAGCAAGATATTGTAATAAATTTAATATTTTATTTATAGTAAATTTTATCTCTATGATTTTATTAAACACGTCTCTAGATTTTATCTGTTTTACAGCTTGGCAAATGTAGATTTGTCTCGGAATTTGAAAAACTGAACCGTATTGGAGAAGGCACTTACGGAATTGTGTATAGAGCCAGAGATACAAAAAACGATAAAGTTGTTGCATTGAAGAAAGTGAGAATGGAACATGAAAAAGATGGATTACCAGTAAGTGGTCTCAGGGAAATATCGGTTTTATTATCATGTCGACATGAAAACATTGTACATTTAAGAGAAGTGGTAGTAGGTAGAAGCTTAGAAAGCATATTCCTTGCAATGGAGTATTGTGAGCAAGATTTAGCAAGTTTATTAGACAACATGCAAGCGCCATTTTCAGAAAGCCAGGTCAAATGTATAGTATTGCAAGTGTTGAAAGGTTTGCGTTATTTACATCATAACTTTATCGTTCACAGAGACTTGAAAGTCTCTAATCTTCTTATGACTGATAAGGGTTGTGTAAAGATTGCGGATTTTGGATTGGCTAGATGGTTTGGTTTACCTTTAAAGCCAATGACCCCAAGAGTAGTAACATTATGGTATAGAGCACCTGAATTACTATTGCAAGCTAAGACACAAACTACTTCTGTTGATATGTGGGCAGCCGGGTGTATATTGGGTAAGAAATCAATGCTTATTAATACAGTATTGTTTTAATTGTATTAATTTATTATTTTATTATAATACAATATTCACAAATATGTACTATATGTATATATGTGCTGCTTGTTTTATTATCAGGAGAATTATTGGGACATAGACCTTTATTACCTGGTAGATCAGAAATTGCACAATTAGAATTAATTGTTGATTTGTTGGGTACACCCAGTGAAGCTATTTGGCCAGAATTTAATTCATTACCAGCACTACAGAATTTTACACTTAAACAGCAACCATATAATAATTTGAAACAAAGATTTCCCTGGTTGAGCGCTGCTGGTCTCAGATTATTGAATTTCTTATTTATGTATGATCCAAAAAAGAGAGCAACTGCCGAAGAATGTTTGCAGAGTAGCTACTTTAAAGAAGCTCCTTTACGTTAGTATCATTTAGGTTTATCTTAAATTGTTTTTCTATTGTAATCAACAATTCAAATAATTTTTTTAACGAATTCATTTTATATGTTATAGCTTGTGATCCAAAACTAATGCCTACCTTCCCACAACATAGAAACATGAAAAAAGCGGCTGCACAGAAAGAAAATCGTGAGCAAGAACCTACTGTTACCGACCAAACCAATAATTTACCGGCAATTTCAGATTTGGTATGTTTTGTAAGAGATTAATACATATAATAATCACAAGGGGAGAATCGCAAGATTGCCTTTGAAATGCATTTAAAATGTTTTTAAAATAATTTGTTGCAAAAAGAGTCCTGTGCTAATATTAAAATAAAACTCAAACTCCTAACTTCAGATCCCTTTATTTTTCAAAAATATAAAAATTTTGAAGTTATATTAATTATTCCTATTCTTGAATAAATCTCCGATCAAATAAACTAGTGAGATATAAAGCCAATGAAAGCCGACACATGTTGGACGAATGTATTTTCATATATTTTATTTTCGTAAAATTGTAATATTAATGTTTCAACCCTGAATATTTTGGGTTATCCTCAGTATAAAAAGAATTTTGAGAATTGTTTCCTTAAATGTTGGACATCCAAATGTCATTTATGAATATTTAATCAAATATACAAACTGTCATTTAGTAATATCTGTAAAAAATCGTGTTTAATTATATATATATAATGTATATGTGTGTGTAAGATTTATATATATTTATGTGTTTTTTAGCTTGGATCATTGGTTAAGAAGAGGCGCGTTGAATGAAAAAAAAATGTGTTACTTGAAAAGATTATGCTTTTTCGTCTTTGAATGTCTTATCCTAATTCCATTTTGTGATTGATAATTACGTATATATGTGTATACTTATTACGAAATACACTATTTACAAATATTTAATGTAATAACATCTTTATTAAGAAACAATGGTGACATGATCAATGAATGATGAATTGTATACACTTTTGCAAAATATGCTGATTCAGTAAGTAAAATTAAATCTTTAATAAATTTTGCTTTTGTATACTGAATTCCATTTGATTGCGTCATCATGTGTTTGTTAATAAATATCGGTTTCATCTTCAATGTTAAATATTTCACTATATATATATATATATATATATTTGCACAAATGATATCTTACATTAATTTTTTTATTCTCATATAAAAATGTAGCAGTCATATTATAAAATATTTGTGAGAAATTACGATTTCTCGTAGCGTTTTTTGTATTCGCCATGCGGATCGTATTTAGCAACGAGACGATCCCAATCTCTGGATCGTTTTGCTTTAAGATGATTTATCACCTTTTCCGCCATAACTTTCTGTTTATCATTGCATTTACTGCAATCGCTCGACAAAGCATCCGGTAGAGTTTCTATAAATAAAAAAGGACATTTTGTTATTTTGGTATTAATCACTAACTAAAATTAGTTCTATTATGGTAGCATTAATTATACTTTTGTAAGAGCAATTGACAAAGTGTTCGCCGAAATTAATTTTTAAAATTAATAAAGTAAAAATGTCTTATTAATACATTAATTTAATGATGAAATTTGTATTTTAATATAATTTAACACCCTGTTTTTCCCCTTCTTGTCTCTCTCGCCGTTCCCCTTTCCCTTTCAATGCAATATTCTGATATACTGTGCCAAAGTTTTATAAATACATCAAATAAGCGAAAAAGGTTATAAATATAATTTGAATATCATTTGTATTGGAGTTTTGCAAATGAACATCAAACTGTTATTATGTTATTAACAAACAATGAATGCAATCCACTTCATACAAAATATTACAATTGATCAATTTATAAAATTTTTCCTTCTTATTGATCAATGAAGAATTGCAGCATTTAATAAATTGCACCTAATGTTTTCGAACTCGTATGTGCAAAACAATTTATAGAAGGTCGAGAAACGAGCAATGAGAAAGAGAGAGAAAGAGAGAGAAAAAGGTTAATTAACGATATGCGCAATATGTGTGCAATCGGAATATTATTATATTACCATGTATATTACTATAAAATGTTTAAATTCATTGTATAATTAACATTATGTATGTTAATTATTTATTTTTATTTTTTAATGTTTTTTTGTAATAATATTAATGATTAATTAAATGCACGCTGTTTCATTGTTTACGCAATTGAAATTTTTTTATATAAATTAAACTACTTGTCAGAATTGCGCTGAAAAAGTTTATACCTTGTTTTTTTTTTAATTTTTAATTTGAATATTTGATTAATATTTATCAATATTTGTGTGTGTATTTGAATTTTAGTATAAAAGACAAGGAATTCTAAAATATTTTATAAAGAATTTTTAAGACTTTTCTTATTTTGTTTATAAATTTTTCAAGAAAACTAAAATTTGAAGGTATTTTACAGAAATCTTTATAAATTTGAAATATTAAAAAAATTCTTATACAGATATAAGATATTAGAATTTGTTCACTAGAAATAATAAATAAAAATGTTGATAAACATTAAAATTTAATCCATTTACATGAATATTTTATAATACAAAAATTCTGTAAATTTAGCGTGTATAATGTAATGTATACATGTAAAAATGAAGTAAAATTTACAAAATTCCCAAAATTCACAAACTTTATAAGATAAGGTTCACATAAATTTAATTTTATACATTAAATAATGTAAATACATATATATACATACAGTTAAAAAATTATGTAAACTTAATAATATATAATTTACGTACGTACATACTTTACACATTACCGTTATTACGTACATGCAAAAGAAAGCCCGGATGTAATACGCGCGAGAAAGTTCATAGCAATAATTACGTAACAGAGAGAGTGTATGTTGAATTATCTGCTGTAATTACAATTGCAATCTACATTTGTTCGTTCCGTGTTCAAATATTTTCCAATTGAAAAATTCTGAGCAAAGTGCTGAATATTTAATTTTATTCCAAATAAAAAATAAGAAAAGAAGCATCATCGTAACTTTTACAATCTAAATTAAGTGATCTACGCTCGAGACTCCTCTCCTTTCCTACTTACTTCTCAACTCGCGGCCTTCAGCGGTGCAAGGTCCTTCGTCCATTAGGCATCGAATGTAATTGGTGAGAACACGATTATTTTGGAGGATCTTGTCCACGTTCACGTCGTCGTATTTTCTGGTATACTTTTCGTTTGCGATGGCCAAAGTCACCAGCGAGACCAATAAAATCAGAAAATACCCCTTCATCGTACGATATTAGGTACATACAAAAATCAATGAATATAAAAAAAAAGAATAAGCTGACGAGACTGCAGGTAAGAGCGAAAAACTAAAGCGATCCATCAGCGGTGGCTAGCTTTTATATAGTCGGGTGAAGGATGGAGGCCGAATCGAACGGAGGGGCCTACCTTGTCGCACGATATCCCAAACATTCCAATTACCTTCCATTCCTTTCAAGTATACAGTATAGGAGCTTTCCAGCAAGAGATTTAAATGATACAGTAACACAGTGAATCATAATTATATATTCTTGTTGTTCGCTAAATGAGAAACAAAAATGAAATGATTACTGTGTTACACTGTCACTTGCTAAAAGCATCATATATATATATGTATATATATATATATATTATATTTAAATGCTTGTACCGCTCTACCAATATTTTAATTGCTTATTCTTATATCTGTATCGATTTGTAATTAAAATAATATAAACATATTTTCGAAATATATTTTCAATTATATGGTTATATAAAATAAACTATCAATTTTTATCTGTAAATAATAACATCGGTAAGTGTAATAAATTTTATAATCTTAACTAAATCTTTAATTATTATGCAATGCCAAGAGTAATGAATACGATTAGTAATTAATAATTATATAATAAAATTATCTTGAATTTTAGAATTCCCAAGTTATCTTATGAAACGTATATAATGGCGTCTTTTTGTATGTATATGTTACAAGTTAGAATCTTATATCAGTTATCTAATTGTAAGTTAAAATGCATAACCCGTCGAGTCTTTGACCTACTTTATTAGCGGATTACATCGATAGAAACTTAGTAAAATTATGTAAACTGTCTGCCTATTATATTTGCGTCAACATATAAAATTTGATATTAAATAAAAGATGTTTCGATCTATAAAGTTTATATAAAATCGTAAAATATTTCTTATAATTCACTGATATATGTAAGCTTTTCACGAGAGAAATGTTACATTTATATTTAAAAACAATTACGTTATATATATTTTTCTATTAAACATTTTTTTTCTATCAATACTATATATATATATATATCTAAGTTAAAAATACGTTAATACGGTGGATGCTTACAAAAATTGTTCATGAAGTAATAATAGCGCATGAATAACACAAGTTGACGAAACACGTGATACATAATAAGGAGAAAGTGTTTCAATTTGTCGATAACCGTTATAACACGTATCCGTAAAAATTGACACGTGCCTTTTTTTTATTAGTATGAAAAAACAAAAAATTCGATATAGCGCACGTGGAAAATTTGTGGCAGGAGTCTAAAAATATGTCTGTATAATATTTTGTTTCGATGAAATAATTTTTACACTTGCTGCTAGCAACATTTTGTATTTGATATAACTATATATTTATATATCTTAGGGGCTATTTCATCTCTTCTATATACGATTTCATCCAGATTTTGATCGCTTAATAATTTTTAAGATTTTTTTATGTTATCATTTATCATTTATTTTAATAGTTCAAAATCGCAATTTTTTAAATAAATTTCTTATCCCTATTGTTTTTGGCCATGGCAATCATTTTAATATAAATAGGTAGCACAAGCGATTTTTTACAATTTTTCGAACATTTGCGTTCTTCAACTTTTATTTCATTATTCGATTCGAATTAGTAAAAAAACATTCGCTTTTGGGTTAAGGCTGCTCTCACATGCGGCGTAATTTGCGTAAGCGTAATCTGCGCCAACCAATCAAATCGTATCAAATTGCATCAGGTACTACGCGTTATTCTAATTGAGATGATTTGATTAGCTGACGTGAATTACGTCGCAGTGACGGTACCTTTATAAGTACTATGCTGGATATGGTATTGCAAAAAATCCCTATTGAATTTATTCCGCGCCAAAAGTCGTCGTTCTATCTTTGACCAATGTTGTCTGACCGATGAATGGAATGAAAGGAAAGATGGACGCTTTGACGTTGGGCTCGCACAGGTAAGGTAGCACGATTGACAAGACATAAATCTTCGTAAATTTCTTACGAATGAAATGTTGTAACTCGGTAAATCACCCTTTCTTTTTCAGGCTTGTCCATCTTGATTTAAAGGGCGCACCGCCACGGACCTGCTACTTCGAAAAGGTACACAGCGGCGTGTAAACACTTCAGACTAATAGCCTCTTTTCGTGTCAACACATTCGGAAGCTCGCATTGTTTATTTTTCTGTTTTCAAATTCGAGCACATTTCTTTTTCATCTGATTGTGAGTACTGTCCGGTATATAATCCTGGTTTCTTTCGCTCGTTACGAATTGCGTTTTGAACTTGTCACATGCTCTTGGCTTTTGTTTACACTTGGTAATATGAAAGAAACACAAATGCCATTCATTGGAAATTGTATGTTAGGGTGCTTTCTAGTAAGAGAAAGTATATCACAGTCATCATTTTGTCTCTGTTTAACATTGGCAATAGGATGTAATAATTCACTGTGTTTACATGTGTCATTAGTACTTCTTGGCAATATACGCAGATGATATAATAGATTTGCATTGTTTACACTTTGCAGGTAGCAAAAAACTTTGCTTTCTCTCTTCAATGCTCAAATATGTATCTATCTCATTTTAAGTTTGAAAATTTTTGGAGATTTCAAATGACACAACTTTGTGTATATTATAAGGCCTGTTCTTTTTACCGAACTGGTACACAGAGTGCAATAAGTTGAAGTGAAACAGATATACGTTTGTTTCATTTCAACTTATTGCACTGTATGTACCAGTTCAGACAGTGCAGGCAAAAAGAACAGGCCTATATATAGATCTTGTGTACAGTATACAATGCTGTGCTTTCCAACTATGACACAAGTCATCATATTGTATGTAAATAAAATTCTGTGCTTGAACGTGTCGTTTTATATCACTTCATGAAAATATCAAATTTTTATATTCTGATAAGAGGTTTCAAGATTATATTTGAATCTATTTTCTCTCTCTCTCTCTCAGACATAATTGTTTAGACATATAATAATTCAAACATAATAATTCAGACATAATTGAAAATTTTTTTTCTTTATTTCACTCTAGCAGTAACATGGACTATGTTTACATGGTAGTTATGAAACTGGCCAATCATAGCTGAAAATTGGAATGACTATAATTGGTCAGTTTCTAATGGATATTAAAGATCCATAAACATAGTCATAAAAATGCTATTAATGTTTTAGCTATAAGTCAACACTGTATATTACTGTGTCACAAGTGTGCGACTGTTTCCTTGCTGGAAAATACCCTATATGATACAAATATATGATTGTATTGTGCTGGAAAGTCTATACATGAAATGATTACTGTACCACACTAGAGCTACATTCATTCGGATACTTTCAGTGCTTCCATCATTAGGTCTGTTTTTATGACTCAATAAAATTTACAGCTCTTTCCACTGTTACGAACATGGGGAGCTACTGGATTATTATTGGAATGGGAAGACACGTTTCCTTACAACAGGGAACTCTCTCCAATAGGGAGCAATGGTCCAAGCAGCTTGGCGAGTGGATACACAGTTCAGGAGGCTAGACATATTCTGCAGATTGCGGGTGATTGTGGCTTAGCAGTTATTCCGTTGGTACAAACTTTTGGTCATATGGAGGTATAGCACAAATTATTTTATTGCTTTTATATTGGATTATTTTGCACAAAGTTACTTTTAGCTACTGTCTAATTTTATATTTTTCTTATTTTTAAAATCATAACATTCAAGAGATTTTTTAAATCTAGTTATTATGATATATTCCAGTTTATCCTGAAACATGATGAATGGCGATCGTTGCGTGAAGTGGAGCCTTTTCCAAGTTCAATTTGTCCATCAAATCCAAGAACTCTTCTAGTGGTGAAGTCGTTGATACGTCAGATTGTTAGCTTTCATCCTGACATACAATATCTGCATATAGGGTCTGATGAAGTGTGGCACCTAGGTCTCTGCTCGGTCTGTACCAAACGAGCTGCAGCTAGCAAATATGGTAAATCGTCATTGTACCTGGAACATATTCTGACGATAGCCCAATACATCCAGGAAACCTATCCATACTTAAAGATCATCATCTGGGATGACATGCTGAGATCGATAGACTTACAGGTTTTGAACGGTATCTTGTTACTACTATATTGCATCGTTTGATCACATAGATTTCTTCAATATCTTTTAATATTTCTTTTTTTTTTGTAGAACATTATATTGGCAAATATGTGGAACCCATGGTATGGCATTATAATCCCAGGGACAATTTTGCGTTACCTAATGGTATTTTTTTCTTTTTTCCTTTTAATATTTTTCCTTTTTTTTTATATACCAAGAAATTTGAAAATATTTGCTAAATTATATGATCATTATTATCAAATTATTAGGATTGTGGGATAAGTATAGTACAGTCTTTCCCAATATTTGGGCAGCAACCGCATTCAAAGGAGCTACTGGCTCCACACAACATATACCTATAATACGACATCACATAAGCAATCATGAAAAATGGTTGGAAGAACTAGGAGTTCATGTGAATAAGGTGCACGAATTTCGTGGTACAGCATTCACTGGCTGGTCAAGGTAAGTTAAATGTTCGAGATTTGTTTTGAAACATTGATCCTTGACATTGATCAATTGTAATTTTAGGTATGATCATTATGCCACACTATGTGAATTGTTGCCTACGGCAATACCATCGTTAGCTCTATGTTTGAAAGTTTGGCTCTATGGTTATTCGGAACAAACGCACACCCAGGTTGCAAAGAGTTTGGGATATATTGATCATCCGTTGCATATAACTCCACAGCTTAGACCAGTTCCAATTCCTAGCAATTTGCTTTTTCCTGGATGGCAAGTAGCTGTGGGTATGGAGTGGTTTCTTAACTTCAAGACAAAATTTCACAATATCGTCACCAGTGATCAGTAAGCCCAGAGAACGCTTTATATATCTGAAATTATTATTTGCAAAACATTTTTGATAACTTTTTGTCTTTTGACGATTTCTTTTGAAGAAATAAGATTATTCGTATATAAGATAGAATATTTTTAAA